CTATTTCCTATAAACTGTACTAAATATCATTTCTCAGACGGTTCTGCTATGATTAGTGTCTGGCAAAAAGCTTCAGCAGATATTTCCTTTGCAACATCTCAACCAACAATTGGTCCAGTTATCAATGCTATTTTCGAGTTTTGAACAACTCGACTTTCAAGATCTACATATCTACATGTGCCGATGTTTCCGTTTATCAACGTTATATTTTAAGATCTGTGCAAGAACTCAGCTAACAGATGTTTCCACATATAAAAGCTATCTTCAAAAACTTATATCTTCTTATCAAGTATTTCTCAAATAAACAGACTAGCAGTAGTGCATTGGCTTTGTTCTACAGATTATAACATATATAGTTAACCCTCATCAACACACTTGTGGTCTGTGTTGACCCCAATGACATTCTGGGTTGTATATCTTTTTATATAATCATTACAAATTTAGGTCCATTCATGTAATTGTCAAGCGGAAACCCTGGATCAATATGACACTATTGTTTTTGAAACATGCAGATGGAGTATTTAGCTATAATCGAATATTTATGTGGGGTCCATGCTGACCCCATACTATCATTAACCATCACTTTAAATGCAGTTCACCCTATAGCATACAAAACAAATTTCTGAACGTTTATTTCACTATATAGGTTGTTATAGACGATAATCCATCAAAGTGTCATCTGGTCTGTTATGAAAAAAAGCAAAAAAGAAATTCTAAGTTTACCTTGCATTCCAGGTTTAACAACTCAATTATATAAAGCATTTAAAAAGTATCAGAATTTTTACCCTATCTTCAAACCAGTAAATAAGATAAAAGATATGACAGGGAATGCTAAAGACAGAATAGAATTAACAGATAAGACAGGTATATACAAGATAGAATTTGAATGTGGTAGAGTTTAAATTGGTCAAATTAAAATAATTGAAAATATAGATTGCAAGAACACAAAAGTTACATAAGAAATAATAAAATTGAAATTTTCAGCTATAGCCGAACATGTAAAAACTACCCAACATACAATATTATGGGAAAAAACTTTAGTTTTAGCTCAGCCTCAAAGTTTTATATTATTAGATATTAGAGAAACATTAGAAATAATAAAATATAAAAAACAAAAACAAGTATTAAATAGAGGTGAAGGACCAGCAAGTCAATACATTGATATATAGCGAGATACATTATAAAAAAAAATATTTTTTTTACTTTATTTAATTTATTTTTTTTCAATTACACTAAGGAAATGAGGATGACTCACGTCGAAACATGTACTTGTAGAGTGATATTTTAAAGTGGAAGCCGTACGGCTTCAATAGTTTTTTTTGTGTAAATATAAAATGTTGTTTTTAATTATTTATCATAATTTAAAAAATTTTAACACAAACACCGGTAGTGCATAGATTGATCATTTTATTGAGTACAAAATACATTATTGGTTAGTATGTAGTGTAACTGTGATACATTTGTGAATCTGTTTCATAACAGAAACCATATAATTTTAATTTTACATTATTATTTTTTGTTCATAACTCCCTATACTTTGTCTTTAAATACCAGGGTATGTTCAGAAGATGGAACATCTCATGAAAAGTTTTTCTCCAACTAGAACCTTAAATAGTGACTCTGTATGTGTACATACATGTTAATGAGTGCCTTGAAAATGAAAGCTAATGTAAGTGGTAAGAAGCAATTTTGATTTATGTTACTATTACTTATAAATTTGAATACTACCTTGTATATTCAAACACTTAACCATTTTTCAAGTGTACTGTTAATGTTGAGTTTGATGTTTGTTTAGAATCTGTATGTATGTATTTAGTATTAAAATACAGAAATATTCTATCTAAAGTTGTAAAAGAAGGGTTTCTAGAAATGATATATCTGATTGTAAAAAATTGTGTAATTGCTGTGTTATTAAGACGTATTTAAATAAAGAAGTGATTTTAAACTAGAGCTGGGAAATAAGTGGAATTTGCTAATCAGTTAATTATCAGGCTCATTAGTCAATTACATTAGGACTGATTGATTGTTCTCATATAAGTTTAATCTTACTATTTTTAGCTTGTTTTGGGTTTTCTTAATGACATTTTAAAATTACCCTTCATTTAAGATGATAGACATTTTCATGTACAACTTAGGATTAACAATCAACGAAGGTCGCTATGTTTCTAGAGGTAGACGTGTTTGAAAATTAATCAAAATGTGTTTATATAATAACTAAAGAATACACATGAAAAACAAGAAATAAAGTACTTACCAGTGCCTTCTTTTTTTCTTTTCTTTTCCCCCTGTTGACTGTCAATGACACTTAACCTTACTTTTTTCATACTAATGATAGATGAAAACCTTTGCTTTCTGTTGGTTAAAAATAATATAGTACTAAATGTAAGAGAGAACTATTGACAAATCCTGAAATAGAGAATGTGACGAGTGGGTGTGGCAAGAGGGGTCTGATTTTCTATTTGATGGCTCTGTAACCAAATAAAATTGAAGGCTATGGAAGTTATGCTTTTTCTGAGCACTGACAATATTATAATAAGTACGTTACATTAAATTTTGTACTTCTTGGAGGGGTGGTAAATAGATTAGAGAAGAGGGGGGTCTTTTTTTTTTTAATATTGCCTTATAAAATTATGAACTTGAAACTTATATACCATTAAAATATGGATTATCACCTATGAGTTTATGCTATACTAATTGGTATAACATGAACAAACAAAAAGTAGTTTAATTAAATTTTGAATCTAACTCGCTAAAATCCTCGTGACATGCACAGTAAAGGATGCCCGTGGGGAAAAGTGTAATTACTGCTGCAAAGCTACTAAACATTTTTTTTCATTAAAAAAAACCAGGAGTGCACATTGCAAAGAGAGTGATGAGGTCTCATCAAAATAAATAAATAAACTAGATTAATTTCAAAAAGGATTTGTGGCAACCTTGTTCAGCTGCATTATCTTCAAGTCACTTATTTCTTTTGTTAATCAATTGTTGCATTATTTTGTGAGGGCTGAGGTGTTTGGTATTTCTTACAATTTTGAAGTTATACTTTATATACCCTTGTGGGTAGAATTAAATATTAGGCTTTAAAGCTGAATAAATCTGTTATTAGAATAAAAACATATGATTTACCTCTTATTGATTAGTGGATGTATTTACAAAGAATTAGGACTAAAAAAATTTTAGTGCTGAATTTAGTTGCCATAATGTGTTAAAATCATGTATGTTAAAAAGATGCTAAGTAATATTTGCTAATTGCTAATCAAATTCATTACTGATTAGCAGTTTCTGCTAGTCAAATCTACCAAACTATTTTGTATCCGGCATTAAATGTGCATCTTCTTTTATGTGTGTATCTCTAGCCTCCTGGTGATCAAACCTATACCCCTAAGAGTAGATTTAAGATGCTTAAATTCACATTTTTGTATTACAATAAAAATTTATTGTATTTTCTGGTTTAAAAACCATTTTTGATCAATTTGTAAATGGATTTTGCAAAATAGTGTGTGTAACTGATTTGTCACTTCCTTCATGTGTTTACCCATACCTGTTTGTAATATTTTTTTATTTGTTTGATATTTTTGACTTTAAACAAATACATAAATAGTACTATCTATGATACTGTTTGGAAAACCATTTTTATTTATGAAAATGTTAATACTATTCAATTATTTATAAAAATACTCATATGTGCTAGCTATTTTATAAGCACGATAAATTAATATTTTAACCAAATTAGCTTTAAAAAAATCCAGAGCCAACAATATAAAGATTTAAAACTCATAAAGTTTTCCAATCATTGTTCTTCATTGTGACACAAAATCTAACTTGCAAAGTCTTGATTTCATTACAGTCAGTTTGATCATATACATAATTATAAAAAATAAAATGTGATTAGTACTTATTATTCTCACAGTTACAGCTATTCTCGATTTGACTGCCCTCTAGTGAGCAAATTTTCACTTGCACCTAGCCTTGAACTCCTACATGGTTCAACTGCATTTAAGCATGGAAATTAGCATGTGACAACCCTACACCAAAAGGGTGTGACACACCCTCCTATTGTAGCTGACTCCGTCTATGCAGTTGAACCACTCTTCACTTCTAGATTTGGCATGACAGTGTCAAGACCTATGTTTGATTTCAGACAATATTTTTTGTTTGGTGCATTTTGAAAATATTCAGTTATTGATTTTTGCATTTCAAAGTATTGTTTATAATCCACTATCAAGTTGTATTTCTTTATTTGATTGTGAATTCTGTTTCTCACTCAATTACTGGTAGTTAGTCAATATTTTTGAATTCACAATTTACTATTACAACTACAATAGCTACGAATGGTACCTGCATTTCACAGCCCGTGACAATGGCTTCAGATGCAGTGTTATCAGCAGAGGAAGAATTTGCCATAGTTTGTTGGGAGATGGCATCTTTCATGTGGGCTTAAGACAGCCTCCTCCCCCCTCCTCCTATTCTTTTGCTGTGCAGGCACATTCTCAGCCTATTGAAGCACCTAGACCTCAGTCACTGTTTTTAGACTTGATATCACAGGTATTTTATGTTTTGTCTTTGTCACCTGTGTCATTTGATCCCTCCACTTCCTTATTAACTGCAACACCTAGTTCTGAGTTTTTGATTTTCCCCTTTGCCTGGTATTGGGGTCCATGCTGTGCATTTTGCAGAACAATTACTTGCAGAGATTAGTATGCTGCACTTCCCACATACTGCAGTGGCTTAAGATTTTTTATCCTGCCAGAGTCTTACAAAAGTGGTTCCAGTCCTTCTCATCAAAGGCATCATCAGACAAGTTTCTACTGTGCTTTAAGTGTTCTTTTCACGATTTTTTTGTCTCCAAGAGACTTTAGATTGGCACCATGTTATTTATCCCCCCCCCCCATCTGAATCACTTCCTCAATGTGCTTCTGTTCACGATGGAATCCTAATTGCCTCTCAGATGGGTCTTTCTTCCAGGGTTTTGGTTGACAATTTTCGACATGTCTGATGCTTATCTTCTCATCCATATTGCTCAGGTTTCATATCATTTTCTATTTTTTGTCTACGAGGATCATATTTATCAATTCCATCATTTTATGGAAGACTAGCTCCTTCTGGCTTCATCCTTCACAGAGTCTTCCTCACACACCCAACTTCTCCTTAGAGAGACTGATTGGGTAAGTTGGTTAATCAAAATGGAGAAGTCCATTATCCACCCCACTCAATATCTTGTTCATCTGGGGACATGGGCATCCACAGAAATTCAAGTGAATAGGCAAGCTCCCACAGTCAGATTGGATGAGTTTAATATTTGTAAGGTTAATTTAAACCACATTGCAGACTTGTAGCTATATATTTATTCTTTCCATAATAGTAAGTTTTTGTTGACCCCTACCACGCTATCTCATGGGATGTCTGCATGACTGCGACAGTCTCTTTGATTACCTATTACTGGTATTACCGGCAGGTGGCAACAGGCTGATCCTTATCACATTATGTCAGGGTTCAGGGGATGTTAACAAGACTGCATTGATCTCTTTGATGACCTGAGTGAGCATTGCCATGTCCAATATCCAAGAAGTCGCCATGGTAGCAATATTTTTCAATATATAGTTACAAGGTAGGTAGCTAGTGATTTTAAAGTAAAGCTGCTGACAAACCTAGTGACTTTTCTTGAGATTGAAACTTAAGTGTAATAAGTAGTGTGAAATTGTGAAGTGAATAAAAAAACTTATAAATTCATATACATATGCTGAATGAATAAAGAAAGAATTATGGTTCTCATTTTTTGAGGGGGGGTCATGTACTCCTCGCCCATCTGCAGACGGCCATGTCTGGGGTTGTTTTTCAACTCGTATCTCAGTCGACCCCAGCCTTCTCTTCTTCATCTGCAATCCATGGAGCTTTTACTTCAGAGGGCACTATCAGCACCTTCTTTCCCTGCATGAGAGATTCTGTCTATTTTGAGAACTTGGGCATCACTGGAGGCACTTATCTGTCTAGGCCATGTCCACATGCATTCCTTGAAGTTTGTACTACAAGTTCATAGGCCTCTCATCAGGGACCCTCTAGATTTACAGATATCCCTTCCTGATTCCTATCAGTCTGACTTCATTTAGTGGTTAGACAGGGACAACATGACAGTGGAGGCTACCTATTCCTTCTACCTGTCTGGATGTCTATGTCTTCACGTGTGCCTCGTTGTCAGGAGCGGGTGCATGCTGCGTTATACAACAGATATATCGGACTGTGGTCTCAGGAGGAGTTTGGTCTTGTCATCAATCTTTTGTTACTCCTTGCTGTTGGTTGGGCAATTATTCATGTTCAGTCATATCTGCAAGGCAAGGCAGTTATGATTCATTCCGTCAACTCGATGACTGTCTCTTACATCATCAGTCAAGGGAGCACTCAATCCTGGGACTTATGTTTCTGCATGTTAGATCTCTTCTTATGGGCTCGCAGCCATCAAATTTGTTTGCTGGCTTGTCATATACCAGGTGCCCTCAATCTTGTTGCAAATCATCTGTCCCATCCTGACAAGATTCTGCTCAAGGAATGGTCTCTCAACTCCCAGGAATTCCGATGTCTATGTTCTCAGTTGAATACTCTCCAACTAGGTGCATTTGCCTCTCTTTTAAATTCTTAGCTTCCTCTCTTTTGGTCATCAGTTCCACATCGTTTAGCTTTG